CAGAGAGGCGCACCCACACCGAGTGCCACCAGCAGGGGTGGGGGGCGTCACCGCAGGGGGCAGGGGCTGCAAAGGGTCCTCGGAGAGGGGACAGACAGCGTCAGGCCAGCAAGCCGGACAGGTTCGGCGGAGTGGCCGCGCTTCTTGAAAAATACAGCCTGTGAAACGGCTCACACAGGCAGGGGAGGGCGTAGTTACAAACGTCCCCCCAAAAAGCAAAACAAAAGACCTTCCCTGCAGAGAAAGCTCCGGGCCCGGGTGGCTTCACCAGCAGATTCCACCCAACATTTCACGTAGAAACCGCGGTGCTTACAGACAAACTCCTCACAGAAAGCGCAGCGGTGAGGCCGCCGTACAGCCCATCCTACGAGGCCACGGGGCCCGAGCGCCAACACTGACCACGGTGGGAGCGGGAGGGCTCCCGCCAGCACCCCTCCAACCCGCGGGGCGACGCCCTGGCTCCGAGTTCAGCCTAGAGTTCAGCAGCCTAGACAGCGGCACTGTGTCCCCCCGCCCCGGGCGCGGTGCGCCCCATGAAGGCACGGTCAGGGCGGCACTCGGAGGTCACAGTGACTCGCCGCGTGAGCGGACTGAAAACCCAGGAGCCCCCAGGAGGACCTGCTCCCTAGGGGCTGACGGGGCATCTGACAGAGTGTGCGACATGTGCTCCTTATGTAGAAAAACACAGAAATGCAGCTCTCGGCAAACAAGGGACAGAGGGGGCGTCCTCCCTCTCACGCCGGCTCCGGTGGGGAAGGGCCCGCGAAGACAGGATGCTGCCGCCAGCACGGTGGGCGGCCGCGCGCGGGAGGGGCCGCGCGTGCACGGTGGCCGGACAGGAGCTCGTACGGGTGGGAGAGGAAGGTGCCTCGGCCGCAGACCACCCGATCGGCTCGCCCATGGAACCGCCAGGGAAAGCAACGGGCGCTGCCCCGTGAGCTTGGCACGGTTTCTGGACAAAGACTGACACGTAAGGTTACCTGGCTTTCTCTAAAACAGCCATAGGCAATCAGATGGTGATCTTGAAAAAAAAATACTACCCCAAATTAGGAATAAATCTGAAAAGGGGGGTAAAAGACCTACACCTGGAAAAATATAAAATTCATCGATGAGAGAAATAAAGGAAGAGGCGCAGGATGTTCGCAGATGGCGCAAGCCCATCAATACTGCGGGGATGGTGGGTCTCCCTCCATTCCACGAACAGGGTCGACCGAACCCCAGTCAAAGTCCCAGCAGGGTCCCCCTCCCCAGGGCACCTGCGGGTCCTGTGGAAATGCAGGGGTCCCCGAGCTGCCCAAGCAACCTGACAAAGGAGGACCCGGTCGGGCTAACATGCTACGGATCAGCGTAAGACCCAAGTCACCAATGCAGACGGGTCTCCCGTGAAGATCTTCAACTCGATCAAGCGGGTAAAACACGGGGTCCAGAAATCACCCCACACTTCTGCGGGGGTGCCCGCTTGTCCAGTAAATCACGCCGGGACGGTGGGGGAGCCACGTGCAGTAACAGTAATAGTGATCGCTTGGAATCACACCTCACACCGCAGCCGAAAACCAGCTCTGAGCGAGCAGCGGCCTACGTCGGAGGTGGGAACCGCATGCCCCGGGAGAGACCCCGTGCGAGGGCGGGCCGGGCCGAGCAGCTGGACACAGCACCCCACGCACGGCCCCCCAGAAGGCACCCCGGCGCGCTGAAGCGCGTCAGCAACGTTTACGATCTGCCCCCCAAAGACGCTGTCAAGAGAAGGAAAATATAAGACAGAGGCTGGAAGGAAATGTTTGCCCCGCAAATATTTCACAGAGACGTGACCCAGGAGATATAAAGAACGCTCAGAAAAGGAAAAGCGAACAATAAATGTACCCAAAAAAAAGTGCAGACACTTCATAATAAGAAAACAAACAACCCGCTTTTAAAAAATGGGCAAAAGATTAGAAGTGACACCTCATTAACAAGACAAATGAGCGGCCAGTGCGCACGTGAACACAGAGGACCCCTCGGTCACCCGGGGGACGCGCGCTAAAACCACCGGACGCCCGCCTACGAGCGCGGCCGTGCTCAGGGCCGGGGCAGCCTGGAGCCAGCCGGGCTGGGGAGGGACCCCGCCTCACGGGCGGAAATGTAAAACGACCCCCTGGCCGCGTCTCCCTTCTCAAACGGTTAAACATAAGCCTCCCTGGGCTCCGAGTCATTCTCCTTCGAAGCATTTACCCACGAGAAAAGGAAATGTTTGTCCTCGTAAAGACTTTCACACGAATGTAAATACTGCTTTGTTTTTAATCGTCGAAAGCTGGACACAGCCCAAACGTCCATCAACAGGGAACGGACAAACAAGCCGCGGGGTGTCCGCACCGTGGCCGCCGGAGGAATGCAGGCCGGCGCACGCGAGGCCCGGAGGAGCCTCCCAACAGTCATTCTGGGGAAAGAAGCCAAGCAGAAAAAGTATATACGATGCTTCCATTTATGGAAAACTCTATAAAATGCAAGCTGACCAGGTCACTGGTGCTTGAGAAGGCGGGGGACGGGGAGGGAAGGGAGGGAGGGAGAAGGGACGGGGGCAGCTCGCGGCCGCTCCGGGGTGACGGGTGTGCTCACTGTCCCCTCTGTCAGGACCATCGATCGGTGCCCCTCGGGGGAGCGCACCCCGCTGTGTGTCAGCGTCATGGCGACAGGGCTGGTTGGAAAAAGTAAAAGGCATGTGAAGGGCTGGGAAAATGCGGAGTTAAATACGACAAATGAGAGGGTGATACAAGGGATACATTAAATGCTCTTGGAAATCCACAGGAAACATTCACACCCTTGTAGGTTTGCCAGGGTGGCCATAACCAAGTCCCACAGACGGCCTCTCAAGCCAGAGACGCTCACTGTCCCCATCCTGGTGGCCGGAGTCCGAGGCCCAGGTGCCACGCGGCTGGCTCCTCCCGAGGCCTCTCTCCCGAGCGTGCAGACGGCCGTCCCCTCCCTGGGTCCCCACACGGTCGCGCCTCTGTGTGTCTGTGTCCTGATCGCCTCTTCCGACAAGAACACAGGTCCTGTGGAATGAGAGCCCGCCCTAGTGACCTCATCAAGCCTTAGTTAAGCCGGGCTTAATCACCTCTGTAAAGGCCCCAACTCCACGTACGGTCACCTTCTGAGGTGCTGGGGGTGAGGGCTTCAGAAATGAATTGGGGGGGGGTGCAGCTCAGCCCACAACACACCCTCGTGGGGAGAAAGCACGCAAAAGACATAAATAGACAAGTCACAGATTCAGGAAAACAAAAAAGGGCAAACGCAAGTGAGACACCAGGTTCTGTCCAGGGCTTCCCAAGGCTACTCCCGGTGGCAACGGCCGCCTGCCCGTGTGTCAGGACCCCCGGGAAGCAGAGGTGCCTCAGGGAAGCCGGCCTGGGTGCGGGCAGGTGCCAGGAGCCCCGGGAGGTAGCTGCGGGGCCCAGGGCTGCGTCCTCCCTGGGGTCCCCGAAGGCGGGCAGGTCCCCGGGGCCTCGGTCTGGACACGAACGGCAAGCACTCCTTCAGTACAGCCAGCAGATTTGGACCCGCTGCACTGGCCAGGTGACCTCGGCTCTGGGGGAGTGGCCTATTTGGAGTCCCAAAGCCACTTGGGCGAGGGGCTGGGGAGGGGCGAGCCTGCCACCCTAGCCTGGGCTGCCCCGCCTGTGCCAGCCTCCGCAGACCGACCGCCGGCCACACACAGGGTCGCCTGGCCTGCATCGAGCCTTTGAATCAGAAGGGGGCCACCTCGCCCGCCAGGGAGGCGCGGAGGCGAGACTGCCACCAGTCCTGCCCGTGGGCTTACCACCTGCGTCCCCCGGACCAGCAACCCCCCGGAAAGGGGCCGCCCCCGACTGAGACAGCGAGAACCACGTTGTTTATCAGAGCTTCAAATTCCGCTGGGCGTCCCTCGTTTAATCTGGCCACCCTCGGCCGGGGAAGGCCTGCGGGCGAACTTGGGAGGAGGCGGGCCTGGCGACAGGCGCAACGGCCGGGCTGGCACAGGGCGGGAGGTCGCGTGGGGCGGCCTTGGGCTCCCCAGGGGCCACTGCGCTCAGCGGTCCCAGGCCTGGCGGGGAGGAATCCGGCGGCAGACGATCGGAGAGGCCGGGCCTGAGCGTTGAGGGGTCTGCACCGTGGCAGAGCCCCCACACCCGCCACCCCCTCTCATCAGCCCCACACAAATTTGAACCCAATCTCCGGCCACCTCTCTGTGAGTAACGTGTCACCTTCCCCTTAGAACGAGGCCTCAGAATGAGCACTTTATAAAAAGAAGCTCGTGGGCTCCCGCCATGGGGTGGGGGTGGGGGCGCCGGAGCGCCATCCCTCTTCCCAACTCCACCGCCAGTCCCCGTCCAGGGTCCCCAGCACAGGGCTGCTCCTTCTGACACGTGCCCTCCATCCCCTCTCCTCCTGAGGGTCTGGACCGGGCCTCCCACGTGGGCCTGGAGACCCGCTGGGGAAGGCCCTGACTCCAGCAGGCGGGTGCAGCCACCGTTAGCACTGAGCCTTGCCCTGCGTTCCCGATGAGGCGACCATGCCATTCCCACCAGCAAACACTCCATGGGGAAGGCCTGCAGCCCCTGCCCCAGGGCCGGGCCCCGGAAGGGCACGCGCCCGCCTCCCCGCAGGCTCCCCTGCTTTCCTGGGGGCAGCCACCGGCCCGCGCCCTGACGCCCTCTCGGGTGCCCTCCCCACCCTGCAGGCCGGCCCACTGCCTCTCCACAGCAGCTCTCCCCGGGGGCTGGCTGGACGCTCCCCATCAACGCCATCCCTGCTCTACGGAGGGTCGCACGTGTAGAGAGACAGGGCCAGCCCCGGGGAGCAGGGAACGGGGCGCGGGGGGAGGGCGGGGGGGGAGGCAGCTACAGCGACGCGGGGCTGGGCTCCTGGGCGGCGGGTGGGGCTCAGGTGCTGCGGTCTCCTGGCGCAGGGACGGCCGCGCGGGGCGGGGCGCGCCCTCCGGACGCCAGGGGGCGCTGTGCCGGAGGCCGCGCGGGCCGCGCGGGCCGTCCCTTCCGCCCGCGGACCGGAAGCCAGCGATGGCGCGGAACGTGCTGTGAGTAGGGGGGCCCGCGCGGGGCGGGGCGGTCGCGGTCACGGTCATAGTCAGCGGGGCGCGGACCCAGGCCCGGGGCCGGGAAGAGGGGCGCGGCCGGCCGGAGCGCGGTCCGAGTCCCGTAGCCTGCGCCGCCACCCCCGCGGCCACGTGCGCGGACCGGTCCGGCGGCTAGGCCGGGACCAGGCCGGGCCCCACCCTCGGCCCTACAGGCCCCGCCCCGAGGGCCTGCCCACCCGCGCGGCATTGGGGCGGGGCCGCGCTGCGCGCCCCCGGCCCCTCCCCCGCACGGCCCGGCCGACCACCCTGAGTTTACGCGGGTATCCGATGGCCCCCGGAGCAGGAGGCCTCGTGAATTCATGCGTGTTTGAATGCATGCATAAATGAACGAGTTTAAGCAGAGGCTCTGCTGGCCCCGGGAGCAGGAGGCCCCGTGACTGCTGCAAGTGTGAATCTGTGAATAAATGAATGAATAAGCTTAAAACAGGGATCAGAAGGCCCCGGAACAGAAGGCCCCGTGACTGCTGCATGTGTGAATCTGTGAATAAATGAATGAGTGGGTTTAAAGCAGGGATCTGCTGGCCCCGGGAACAGAAGGCCCCGTGACTGCTGCAAGTGTGAATCTGTGAATAAATGAATGAATAAGCTTAAAACAGGGATCAGACGGCCAGGGAACAAAAGGCCCCGTGACTGCTGCATGTGTGAATCTGTGAATAAATGAATGAGCGGGTTTAAAACAGGGATCTGCTGGCCCGGTGAACAGAAGGCCTCGTGAATTCATGTATGTCTGAAGCATGAATAAATGAGTGAACGCATACATGCACGCGTGCACGTCCTTGACCCTGGAGAGCGGACAGGGAGTGGTGTCCCACCCCCCCTCTACCCCCCTCCCCGCTGCGCAGGCGGGAAGCGGACCCCACGGCTGGGCCGGGGTATGGGTGTGGGGGAGAGGGTGCGCGGGGCCCTGAGGTGGGGGACACTGCTCTGTGCAGCCGCGGAAAGGGGCAGGGGCCTCGAGGAGGGAAGCTCCAAGCTGGGCCCTGAAGGCCGGCTCTGAGGCCGCCCTGGAGGCCAGGGACGTGCAGGCAGGAAGGGGACCAGGAAGGGGACCAGGACGGGGCCCAGCCTGAGTGCACGTGCTCACTTGCTGGCCAGGGAGGCCCAGAGGGGAGGCTTGCAGTGGGGCCACGGGTGGGGTGAGGGAGAGGGTGGGATCCTGGATGAGTCACCCTCGGGGCCACAGGGCGGGAGGGCTGGTGGCAGCCAGCCAGCTTGTTGTTTGGAGGAGAGAGAAGAAATTCAGAGCTCTGCCTGAGAGATGTTAGGTCGAGGTGCTTGCGAAACACCGCGGGAGCGGTCAGGGAGGCAGGGGGCTGGGTGAAACCCGCCCAGAGGCTGGGGTGGGCCCCACGGGGGTGCTGGGCCTCCAGGAGGCCCAGGGAGCTGCGTTCCAGGACCCAGCAGGAGGGCAGTCAGCAGCGCGGGCTGTTCCCGAGCTGGGGGGTCCCAGGCTGCAGGCAGGGGCCTTGAGAGGGCCTGGGGCTCAGCGTGGGGGGGCTGTGCGCGCCCCTGCCGGCCCTGGCCTCTCATCTAGACCCTCACCCTGGGCCTCTCTACCCGCAGCTGAGCACCCCCCTCAGACCCCAGGCGGCCGGAGGGCTTGGGGAGATTGGGGGGGTCTGAGCTGGTGCCCCCACATTCCCAGTGACCCTTGGGCCCCAGCCTTTGCCCCGTGCAGCACTGCTCTTGGTTCCCAAGGGGAAAAGAGCCCCCCGGGTGGCTGGCTGTCAGCCTGAACTCACACAAGGGGGAACAAGGCAGGCCCTGCACCCCTCCGAGCGGCCGGCGTTCCCAGCCCCTCGCCGGGGCCTGTGCCTGCTCAGAGGCTGCGCCGTGAGGAGGTTCGCTGGGGTGGCCGCTGCGGCTGCCTCGCTCACCCACGTGCCCGCAGAGATGGTTCCCAGCCATTCAGTTCACGCATCCCAGCCCAAGCCACCCTCTGGGGGAGCCCCCACCACCCCTGCCCCAGTCACACCCCAGGCGCCCACTCAGCCCTTGCTCCCTGCAAGACGTCCCACCCGGGTCCTCTGACCCCCTGGCCCTCCTCACCCGCCGCAGACGTGGGAGGCAGGAGCCAGCTTGGGGCTTGGCCACAGCGAGTCCCTTCCTCGATGCTGGGTGCTGCCGATGGGTCACTGGGGATGGCTGAGGCCCGCTGGGAGACTCCCAGCACCTGCCTCCCACCCAGACCTGCCCCAGGGCTCCCGGCCTGCCCACCACGGGGTCTTTCAGGGTGAGTTCGGGGTTAGCGAAGTGCAAGCCTCGTGTTCCCTTAGCCTCCCATCCTGGCGGAGCCGGCACTGCCGAGGGCAGGGGGCGGGGGTGTGGGGCAGTGGCCCCGTCTGCACCGCGAGGCTGAGCCCGTGCCTGCGAGCCCACCTCACCGGGCGCCAGGGAGGTGTTGGGCGCCTTGTGCTGTCGGTGGGCCTTCCCCAAGCGGGGCCCACTCCTGGGATGGCGGCAGCCACGCTGGGGCCGCGTGCCTGTCGGGGGTGCGTTCTCTGCGGCCTCTGTGTGTTTCTTGGCCTCGGGGCGCCAGCCCACATTGCGCCATGGAGGGGCCATGGCCAGGGGACCGGCCGACCCGCTGGGCAGAACCGCGGGAGTGAGTCGTGGGGCTGAGGGGGCCGTGGGCGCCATGAGTGGTGGCCTGCAGAGAGCGGCCCCCTGTGCTCCCCACCGCTGCTGACTGGGTGGCTGCCCGCTGGGGGTGCGCTGGGCACGGTGAGGACTCAAGTGTCTCCCCCACAGGTACCCCCTCTACCAGCTGGGCAACCCCCAGCTTCGCGTCTTCCGCACCAACTTCTTCATCCAGCTGGTGCGGCCCGGCTCGGCCCAGCCCGAGGACACTGTGCAGTTCCGGATCCCTATGGAGTGAGTCCACGGGGGCCAAGGCAGGGGGCGCCGGCTTCCCCCCACCCCCGCCTGGAAAGGCCTGCAAGGCCGCCCCGCGAGGCTCTGCAAATATTGACAGAGGCCTGCTGTTTGCCGAGGTCGCTGGGCGCCCTCCACCTGGAGGAGCCGGGTGGGGGACCGGAGCCGGCTTCTCTCCCGCGCACCCCCCTCCCACCCCCATCCACTCCCCTGCCGTTGAATTGAGTCACTGTACCCCCTCCCCCAGGCTGGGCCTGGTCCCCAGAGCTGCAGACACAGGCCAGAGCCAGGGTCCCCCACGGGCTCCTTCGCCAGGCCTCCGGTTACCCCAGGGCCCAGCCTCTCGTCGCCCCCCCCTCTGCAGAGTGTGCTCTGAACCCCGGGGGTGACTGTCCCGGGCGCGGCCCAGCTCAGCCTGCGCTCCGTGTGCGCCTGCGGGGGCAGCGGCAGGGGAGGCTGGGGGCCGAGTTTCTGATACGTTTAAGGTAAAAGGAAATGAGACGCAACCCACCGAACACAGAGAGTTTTTAGAAACGCCGGTTAGGCTCGTGTGGTCGGGCGGCGGCTGCAGCCTGGGCTCCCGGTAGCTGGGGGCGCTCGCATGCCGCTTCCCTCGGGAGAGCCCCCCGGAGCTTGGCCTCCTGGCCTCTGGAGCGTGGGCCAGCGGGTGGGTGAGCAGGCCTGACCTAGGCCAGGGAGCCGCGCCGGGGGGCCGCAGCCCGGGCTGCTCCTGGATGTGGCCCGTGAGGCTGCGCGTACCCCCCGCCGCCGCCTCTCATCAGCCGGGCTCACCGTCCATGTCCTCGTCCCCCACGCCCAGGATGACCAGGGTGGACCTGCGGAACTACCTCGAGCGCATCTACGGCGTGCCCGTGGCGGCCGTGCGGACCCGGGTGCAGCACGGTAGGTGCCGGGCGGGCCTGCGGGCCATGCCGCTCCACACACCAGCCCACATCACCCTCACAGCGGCCCCGTGGATCTGGTCCTTGGCATGGGGGGAAACTGAGGCCTGGCACTTGGGTGACGTCCAGGGCGACACTTTCCCCGGGGCCGTGGGCTGGCCCCACGAGCTGCTCTGAGCACTGCCAGGCGTTGCCTCCCACGGCCCTTCCTGGGGACCTGTCACCCCATCCTCTGGAGGCCCACGGCCAGAAGGGCCGAGCCAGCGAGAGCGCTGTGCTGACCCCGAAGCCGGTCTCCCGCGTTGTCTTAGACATGCTGGGGTGCCTCGCGGAGGGCCAAGGCCGCGTGCCGGAGACGGCTCCTTCGGCTGTGACGTGCCGGCCTCTGAGCCAGCCGCTTCCCTCGGGGGGCCCTTAGAAAGCGGGTCCCCGTGTCCGCCGCGCCTGAAGCGGCATGCCAACAGTGACGCGCGTCTCCCCCCCGGCAGGTTCCAACAGGAAGAGGGACCACAGGAACGTCAGGGTGAAGCAGCCAGACTACAAGGTGGCCTACGTGCAGCTGGTGAGTGTGCGTGCGCCTGGGGCGGGGGGCCCTGGCCCATGGGCCGACAGGCAGGGACTGTGCCGGGGGCGGCGCCTGTTTGTGCCACAGCCACTGCCCGGTGGCCCCCGGGGGGGGCTCGAGCGGCAGGGTCCCAAGGCCCGCTGCTGCGGCGCAAACCCACAGCGAAGCCCAGGCGGGTGGGGGTTCAGAGCGCAGCTAAGCCAGGTGGGGGGGTAGGGGCCCGGGGCGCTGTGGAACTTCTCAGGAGTTTCTCATCAAGCCTTGAACTTTGAACGTGCTGTGGGCAAAGCAGGCCCACCCAGGCCAGGGGGTCTGGGCTCTGACAGAACCCAGGTCTCACTGAGCCTCCAAGGCCGCCTGCTGGGAGGCCGGTCCCGGGCGGGTCCTGGATGGGAGGCAGCGCTGCCTCGGGGTGCACGGTGCGGCTGGGCCTTGGCTAGCAGCCGGAATTCTCCCTGCGGCTGCCGCCCGGCCAGGGGCCCCAGGAGCAGGGCCCGGCCACATGAGCCTTTACTGAGAAGGCCCAGGGCTGGGATGGCCAGAGGCATGCGCCCGCCCCTCCCCGCACTCCCACTGTGACCGTGGGACCCCAGACCGGCATGCTTTCCCGGGCGTCCCTGACTGATAGCCAGACCCTGTGGTCTCGGGCAGGGTCTCCGCCGTCGCTGGGTGGGAGCCTCCCAGGGTCAGCTCTGCTCGCTGGGCCGGGGAGCTGCCCCCTCCAGTCTGAAGCCTGGGGTGGTGGAGCCGCGGGCGGGCGGGCGGGCGGGCAGCCGGCCGCTAGATGGCAGTAGCGCTGTTGCGAACCCTCGGCCGCCAACCTGCCTGGGGCCTCCGGAGGCAGCCTGTTGGGGACCGAGGCAGCGTGGCAGCTTTTCTGAGAAACGGTCACAGCTGCTGTCCGAAACGGGGGCCTGCAATTATTTGGCCTGAAATTTGCCGTGCAGAGAACCGGCTCGCGTGGGGGGCCGGGGGGTGTTGCCGGCCGATGAGGACGCCCGTGTCCTCTGTGTGGGCCTGGCCGTCCGCCCTGGTCACGGCAGGCTGGGGACAGCCTGCGTGTCCATATTCGCCCTGAGGCCTCCGCCGCCGCGAGGAGGTCACAGGTGGCTTTGGAGTCACCTGAACCTCGCATTTTCCTGCCCTCTCCCTGCTCATGAAAACCCGAACCGAACTGCACTCAGACCCGGGGCCGCAGCTGCCGCCCGAGGTGCTGTGAACCCCACGGCGAGAAGCAGGCCCCCAGCGAGGGACACGGTGTCCCTGCGGGCCCTGTCTTGCTGCTCCAAAATCGCCTTTGTCGCCCCCACCCCCTAAAGTGCCTGCAGATTTCTGCCCAGCCTGCAAACAGCCAGGAGGCTGGGCCTGGGCCCTCGGAAAGGGGTCCCTTCTCTGTCCCCCATTCTCTGCTGGCCTGGGCTGTGGGTCCCCTCAGGGCTTCTAAGAACAGCTAATTACAAAGCACACAGAGTCGATGAGAAAGACAAATTAAATTGCCAGGTTTATTTGGAGTGGGCTGCTGCTGCGGAAAAGCCGGCCCCGCCGGTGGGAGACCCGCATTTTTTCCTCCTCTGAGAACCTGATAAGCATCTCTCCGGCCCCTCACCCGCTCCGGCGAGGGCCTCGGGGCGCGCAGCACACGGAGCGGGCCTGCCCCCGAGCCGGTGTTGACACAGCGCAGGAATGAGCGCCACCGCCTGCGGGGCCGCGGGAGCCGTCCCGGCAGGCAGGGCCCCTGGGCTCCGGATGGCAGCTGGCCCCGTTTCTTCACTTTTATGACATTTTTGTGCTTTTCTGTACTTTTCCGCATTCAGGGTGCATTTTGAGGGTTTTGTTTTTGAAAGCACAAGGCAAGTTCTCCAGAAAGGGGCCGTGTGGGCACCGCCAACAGCCGTCCCGGAGGAAACGGAGAGTCCCTCCCCCCCTCGTGTTTTTCCCCGGCCGTTGCAAATTGCCGTCTTTGTATTTATATTTAAAATGTCATTTTGGGTTTCCCCCACCTCAGAAAACTAGCAGAATCACCTCGATATATTAAACATAACCCCCCGTTCTGGGCAATCAGCCCTGCATGTAAACTGTTGCCCTTTGGTATTTTAAAAAAGGAAAAAAAAAAGGTTTGAAACGTGTAAGATAATCCTCCCGCGGGCTGGCTACCGAGCACGCCGCGGCTGCTTCTCATCACCGCAGGCCTGCGCCCGCGCCACGTGACCCGAATGTATAAACTCACGGCTCGGGGGGCGCGGGGGCCGGGGCGGCTCGCACTTGGCCGCCTGCCCACATCCCCATTTCTTTGCAGAGCAAGGGTCTGCGAGAACCAAGCACGCGTTACTGATTTCACCGACTAGAATGTCCCGCATGCCGTGCCGCCCCCGCCTCCCCTACCTGTCTGGGGTGCCCTCGCCCGCCTTGCCTAGGAGCTGGGGTCCTCCCTCCCCCACCCGGGGGCCGGCTTCCCGGTCCTCAGCCTGGGGGGCCCGGTGGGCCCGGGGGCAGGGACCACCGAACCTTTGGAGAGACCTGAGTGCTGTGGGCCGCCCTGGTGTGCGGACACCACCCCGGCCGCCTGGGCGGTTGGTTCGCGGGGGCCCGGTGCCGGGGGCGGGCGGGAACGCGGCTGAAGGCCTGCAGGCACGCTGCAGGGGAGGGCTTTCGGGGCCATGTCCCCCGGAGCCTCCCAGGCCGCCCGCCGGCACCCCTAAAGGGACGCTGCGGGTGGGGGGCCCCGTCGCAGGGGAGCCCTCTCACTGGCCTGCCTCCCCGCAGGAGGCTGGAGCCCGCACCCCCCGTGGCTCTTTCCAGGCAGGGACGCGGCTCGGGGCACAGAGGCCTGAGCTGTGCTGGGGGCCTGGGGTGGGAGCCAAGCCCGGGCGGGGCTCTGTCCACGCGGCGCGGTGGCCCTCGGCGCCTGCAGAGGTCCTGCCGCCCACCCGTCCTCCTACGGCGGCTGGAGCGGCTGTGCTGTAGCACCGGCCTGTCCTCCGCAGGCCCACGGGCAGACCTTCACCTTCCCGGACCTCTTTCCTGAGAAAAAGCCGAGCCCTGACGGCGAAGGCGAAGGCGAAGGCACCTCCGCGGAGGACAGAGTCCAGGAGGAGCTCTTGGAGGAGCAGCGGAAGAGGCAGAGCAGCGACCCCCGGCGCGGGGGCGTCCCCGACTGGTTTGGCCTGTGACGGGCTGGCAGCTTCAATAAAAGTGCTGTGTGTGTGAACAGGACCAAGGGCTCCATTCCTCTCTCCCCCGCCCCTTGCGGGCTTCACCAAGGCCTCTGTGGCTAGTTCCAGGCAGACCCGCTCCTCGCTCCCTGCCTGTGCACACGGCGCCCGGGGCCGGCGGGCCTGGTGCAGCGTGGGAGCGAGAGCCCGCTGGGGAGAGCCCCCGCGAACCAGCCCCGAGCCCCCGCGAACCAGCCCCGAGCCCCCGCGAACCAGCCCCGAGTGTGCACACTGAGAGGCTGGCCCCAGGCACGGGGGCGGTTCGTGAGCGCTGGGTGGGCGTCAGCTGCAGCCCCCCGAGGCTGAGGTTCTGGTTTCATGTGGCCGGTGGGTGTGGAGTGGACGGGCGGAGGGGTCTGAGGGAGGTGGTGTTTAGGGGATGGGCGCAGAGCGGGGCCGCAGGGTCCAGGAGGCCCGTCCCTGCATCTCGGGCGCCTCAGGCCTCGCCTGTGCGTCTGAGCTGCCCCGCACCCCCCAGCCGGCTGCCCCCTGGGTGCGGAGAAGGGGCAGTGGGCGGTCGCGGGGGGCTGTGAGCCCCTCGCTGGGGAGGCTGATGCCGAGGGAGGTCCACCGGGGGCCTGGCCAACACACCAGAGGGCTGGCCACGTCTCTGCCCTGCTGTCCTCCCCGGGGGCTGCGTGGGGAGACAAGTGGGGAGCTGGCTGGCCCCCCACAGACACCCGGGCGCCCCTCCACACTGGCAGGGTGAAGGGCGGGGCACGCTCCGCCCTTCAGTGTTGATTTAAAGTGGCAGGAAGGTCTGGAAGTAGCCGAGGCCGCGGCCACGGCGCTTTCCTTAGAGGAGTAACTCGGGGCCTGCAGCCCGAGACCGTCAAGGCCGGGGAGGACGCTCGCCCGCCCCCGCGGCCCCTGCCGCCTGCGGGCAGCCTTGACTCGCAGCTCCTCCCTGTGCTGCGCCCTGGGGCCCCCACAGGCCCAGGTGCCTGCTGCGGGGTCGGGGCGAAGCCCCCCGCCTCAGGTCCTCAGCCCCTCTGGCGCCCCAGGGCCGGCACAGCCCCCTCGTGAACTGTCAGGGTCCCGGCAGGGCAGGAGGGGAGGGGTGCGGGGGGGGGGGCAGCGTGCAGGAGTCCAGGGGGTGGGCCTTCCGCCGCCCAGCCCCCCACGCCCTGCCGCCCCCGGGCGCAGCGCTTTGAGAAGGGGCTGGCTCGCTGCCCCCAGGCTTGGGGTGGGAGCCCACCTTCGCCCCACGCGTGGCTTCTCTGTGACTCCTTTTTCTTGCGTAGCTGGCTTCAGCCTGCTGTGCACCCCCGTGCGTGGGGCGCAGAGGAAGCCCCCCGGGGACCCCCAGCCTGGGCCCCGAGACCCCCACGTGGCCGCACAACCCGTCCGCTCCTGCAGGGGACCGGCAGGCCCGCTTTCACGGGGCGTCCTCTCCGGGGCCAGGGCCGGTGAGGGGCCCTGGGGCCGCCCCTTCCCTGTGGACCCTCCCGCTGGGAGCCCCCAGCTCGGGGCGCCACTCTGCCCCTCCCCTCGTCCCCACGATGTCCTGCGGGGGTCCGTTCGCTTTGCAGGAGGGTCGAGGCCTGGGCTACCGGGCAGAGGCCTGCTGGGAAAGGGCTGTGGGGGCCGGGCTGGCGCCACCTCTGCCCGGGGACGGAGCCCTCGGCCCCGTGCCTCGCGCCTGACTCTGTGGCCCCCAGGGACACGCCCCAGAGGCCCAGCCGCTGTGCCATGCGCGACCTGCTGCTGTTGGGGACTCTGTTTCACACACACAGGTGGTGCACGTGGGCTGCAGTGACCGGCTCCTTTCACGCAGCCCGGTGCCCGCCTGGACCGCCCGCCTCGACGCTGAGCGGATTTGCCCCACAGCGCGCGCACGGCGGGGGCCCCGCAGCCGGCGCGGCAGCTTCCACCCCGCGGACCACCGTGTCCGGAGCAGTCTGCGTGGGAGGGGCGCGCCAAGTTCCTCAAGTCCCCAAGGCTGTGGAGAGACAGGGCCGCGCCCTCGGCCAGTCCCTGCTACAGAGGGTGCCAGAGAGCGCATCACTCCAGCCGGTCCCTCAGAGACCCCCAGGTTGGGAGCTGGAGGCTGGCCCTGGGGCTCGGCCCCTCCCAGGGCCCCTCTCCTTCTCCAAGTGCTGCACCCCGAGTCCTCCTGCCCCTCCAGGGGTACCCTGCCCTCGCCCTCGGAGCCCCGTCCGCCCCGGTTTGAGGGCCGGGTTCCCCGCGGCAGGGGCCTTGGGCTGATCCCCAGTCGCAGTGGGTGCGCATGCCTGTCCCCTCTTTGCACCTAACCCCCTAGTCCCCTCGGGGCCCAGGATCCACCCTCCGAGCCGCACCAGGACTCTGCCCGTGGCCGACGGTGGGCCCTGCACCCCCGCCTGCGCCTGGCAGGGCTCCCTCCATTCCTGCCAGCCCAGCGCTCTGCCCCCCACCCCCCAAGGCGCCTCTTCTTCCTGAGCGAAAGGGGCGAGGACCCAGTCTCCATCCCAGGGGCCTCCTCCGGGTCTGCCCCCAGCTCAGCCCGCGCGAGCTGCACCCCGCCGGGCTCGGCTCCGGACACCCTGAGACGCCTGTGGGGACACCGGGGCCACTGGCCTTGGAGGCAGCTGGCCCGGGTCCGCTGCACACGTGGTCCAGGGGGCGACCGGGTAGCATCTGCGTTGACTCCTTCCCGCTGAGATCATCCCCAACACCAATCCCCCCAAATCACTTCATTATTTCTTTGTAAATAGGGCTTTTCCTAGTCAAAATAATCAGCATTTTTCTGTTGCTCCCACATCTGGCTTTGATTGGCCCCAGCCTCGTGGGGCGGATGCTGGAGCCCTGACGTCATGGGGAGGGGAGGGGGGCCAGCCCGCCCGCCCCCCGCACAAGGCCAGGCCCCGGGCCGGGGGCAGCCCTCTGGGCACACAGCTGCGCTCTGCCCGCCCGGCTCTGCGGGGCCTGGTTCCGCCTCCTCCGACGGGGGCCGGGGGGCGCCCCTTCCACGGGGGTCCCGTGCTGCACGTGGCAGCCCTTCTGCTCCTGGGGTCCCCAGGTTCTGCATCCACCCCTCCTGCTGCAGTGTCACCACCCCCGCCCCACCTGGGCGCCCTGCAAGGACGAGGGCGCGCACGCCCCGGGTCGCCCAGCACCTCCTCTCTGGGAAGCTCGAGGCGGAGAGCTGGCTGGCCGCCGGCCCCCCGGGAGCCCCCGCCCCGCCCCCCTCGCGCCCCTGTGGGCTCGCTCCCTGGGCACCGCTCTGCGGGCCGCCCGGAAGCATCCCCGAGTAGCCCCAGCGCGGGGTGCCCGGCGGGCTGTCCCATGGGAGGGGCCCGGCCCCTCCTCCCTGGCCCCTCCCCCGGCGGTCTGTCCGTCCAGCCTGCAGGCCCCGCCCCAGCGTCCCGACGCCAGGGCCCGCGCGGACGGTGAAGGGGCGTTGCGGGACCCGGGGCTGAGTTGGGTGACTGTGACAGTGCTCGAATGTCCTCCGACTCAACCGTCGCTGTCCACGCGGCGGAGCCCACGCGGGCACGTCCCCGCGGCCCCGTCACCCACGGGCGGACGTGCCGTCGGGGACCCTGGGCCACCCACCACACCATCCCTCCTGCGGCCCCGCGAGGCTCTGTGTGCTGCCGGGGGGCACCTGGAGGACCACCCCCGCGCTGACCCCCTGGCCCCGAGCGGCCGCTGCAGGCCTGCGAGCCTGAGCAGGGGCAGGGGGGACTCAGCAAAGTGTGGAAGGCCACCCAGGGCTCTGGGCCTCCCAGGCTTCTGGGTGGCACTTCCGGGGTGGGGGGCAAACGCTCCCGGAGAACCCCTCAGCCACCCCGCCTCGCAGCTGCAGGCGCCCTCCCTGCCGGCTGGGGGAGGGGCCTCCCAGAAGCCTTTGCGGCAGGCCCAGGGCAGGGGCGAAGCGCCCCTTAAACAGAACAAGGTGCTGGCCTCTCATACCTTTACTTTACGAAGTGTTTGGAATTCCGACGGCCCAAACAGCTGGATGTTCCTTGCCAGGTTCTCCCTGGGACTTCACTCACCGGCGGCCAGGGCCCTCAATAATTCTTATAAAAACCATGTCAGCCCCAAACTGTGTGATATCTGATTTGTAGCACTCATAAAACCCCACGCCGGCTGCCAGAGTCGGGGGGAGCCCGGTGTGCAGAGGCCTCGGCCGCCCCCCAACCCCGGCGCGTGTGCACGCGCACGGGAGGGAGCAGGCCCCTGGGACCGGGCTCCGGCAGCTCCGTGGCCCCGCTGCACCCGAATCTGCCCCCTCCACCCTGCTCTCCGCACCCCGTTAACTCGGAGGGTGACCCAGGCCTCGTGTGGCCAGACCACTTCAGGACGTGGACCTGCAGGCCGGTGACTGGGTGCTGCCTTTGGCGCTTAGGGACGGCCAGGCTGCCCAGGGGAGGGGGCGTGCCGGCCCCCCGGCCCCGGCAGCCCCCGCCGCCCCCACCCGCCCCCAGGGAGTCTGGCTGCCCAGGCCGGGGGCCGGGGTGAGGGCAGGCCCACCAGGCCCTGACGGCCGGTCCCCCCGCGCATGCATCTCTGAGGCAGCCCCAGGTGACAAAATGGTGTCTCTTTCCCGCAACATGGAGCCTGGGCGGAGCCCGGGCCACCCCAGGCGGCCTGGCCTGTGCTCGTCCCACCCGGAATGCGGCTGAGAGAGTCCTCTTGCCCCGCTGATTGGGACCAGAGCACACAGTACGTCCTCCCTGCGTGGGCTGGGGACCTGGGGTGGGGGCAGCTTTGGGCTCCTGGGTGGGGCGGGGTGTTCAAGGCCAGACCCCAGGGCCCAGAAACACGCTCAGCGGGGAGGTGGGCCCGCGCGGGCGGACGAGGGGCACCGGGTGGGGGGGCTCTGCCGCCCGTGCACCGACCCCGCGCCGCCGGCAGGGCCTCCGCCCCACGGCCTCCCAAGGTCGCCCTGGGTTTCCGCAGCCTGAGCGCCGGCCGCCAGCAGGCCGTCGGACCTCGGAGGGGGACAGGGGCCTGGGTGAGGGGGGGGGGGTGACATGCGGGCCAGGGGCTCGCGCGGCTGGCCTTGCG